CAAAAAAAGTGTTATGAAACAACAAAAGATGTGGATGTCTATTTGTATTCCTAAGAAAATTAATTCATGAATCCTCTACAAGATTCATTGGTAAATTGAATAAAAGAGATGAACCATTTCAATTCATGAAGCTATTCAATTGATGTACTTGAAATACTAAATTCATGAATAAATATTTAATAAGATTCATGTACCTTTGATTTTGTAATACCTATAAAGAAGTATCTTAGTACCTCTTGTAACAACTTGCATCAGTTGAAATAATAAAAAAATTATTCTCTATTTTCTCTATTTCTTTATCTAATATTTCAATCCCTGTTATAATAGTTTATTTTATTAGTTTTATAACAAATTGTAAATACTTCATTAGATTTATTTTTGCCAGCTGTCCGATATAAGACTCTTTTTGTCAAACTGTCCGAATCTCGTGTTTCACGCAATACCATCAAATTAAATACTAAATAAATATCTCACCGGAACAGACACATGTAAGATCGTCCTACCTCACACGACACCGTTTGGCCACGTCACCGCCCTTTCTACCCAACAACTCCTAACGGCACATCCAGCCTTTCCCAAATTTCCAAATCTTCTTTCCATAACGTTCCGCCTATAGATTTCCCTATTTGCCAAACCCTACTCTAAACCCTAGCTACACCCTTTTCTTAATTATAACTTAAATCCATCGAAAAAATTGGCAAAATTTGGAAAGCCCTGGTTATTCTACTCTAATTGAACTCAAAAATTATCTTTGTGTTTTCTTTTGATATCTATTTAATTGGTGATTAGGGTTTTTGGAAATGGTTGAAAATCAGAATGGAGGAGGGCAACACTGATTGTAATATAGTTAATGTCGGCAATGGTGATGGTAAAAGTAAGGAGAATGGGATCTCCGGCAGTGAAGGCCGCCCGCCCAACCCTCTGGCGGCCGTGTACCGCCAGTGCTTGAGTTCCGGCGACCCGCTTGGCGACGCTTCTTGTAAGAAGTCCCTGGTTCGACATCCTTCCTTGGTAAAAAAAAGGAACAGAAGAGAAAATTTTGAAGTTTTCGTTTTGATTGCTGTTCTCCTTGTTTAAAAATTTAATCTTTTTTGTTTTGAATGTACTTCCTGTGTTTCTGGCTTTACAACTTGATTTTTTTTTCCTATTAGGTTTCCTTGGTAAAGAAAAAAAGAGGAGAAAATGTTGAAAATTTCTTCTTGAATTGCTTTTCTTCTTGTTTAAAAATTTTGTCTTTTTGGATGTATTTCTGTGTTTCTGGCTTTGCAATTGGATTACTATTTGTTTCCTTTTTTAGTTTTAGGTTTTCTGTTAGTTAGTTGATGAATCTGAACTAAAATACGTGACTTTTGTTGATGCATCATGAGTTCTGATTTGAGTTTTCTTTCTTTCTTTCTTTTTTATTAACAAAAGATTAAGACATATTGTTAATGCAGATGTAGGAGTAGAATAGTTAAGTGATACTAGTAGGCCAGACCAAATCGTGTTGTATTTTTTATTGTACTGTACTGGATTAGGTAAAAGGACGTATGGGAATTTAAGGTTGAAGAGATTAAAGGCTTGTGATGCTTTTCTTTTAATAGTTTGTTCTGATAATGCCTTTTCCTTTTTGCTGGATATATTAAGGTTGCTAGGTTTTTATGGAACTATCGATACATCATAGTTCACCCCTTCTTTATTTTTGAGTGAGTTACAATTTTTGAAATTGTCCTTTAATTGACTATTAACTTGTATGTAATTTTGCTTTATTTCTTTTTGTTGGTCTTGATTGTAAACTTTCCTTTGAATTTACATTGATGGTTTTTGACGGGACTGTAGCAGGTCAAGACAAGGATGTTGGATATATCTGTAGAAGGACTTAATATAAATGATTGTCCAGCAGATTATGTTCCTAGTCTTCGCTCTGGTGCATGGTCAGACATTGGTGTTCGCTCCTCAATGGAGGATGTGGTTGTTCGTGCTGACAATTTTGTGCATCATTATGGGTTGAAGGGTTCTGACCAAGGGCCTAGTGCCTTCTATGCGGTAATTTTCTTCTTTTGGTATAGTTAAGCCTTTGTTCTTTGTGTGAACATCTTGGTAACAACTAGTAGCTATGACAACTTTCATAAGGTACTTTATTTGATTACTAACACTCATTGTATATGTGGATTGTTTTCTCCTTTGTTTTGTAAGCCAACCTTTTGTGATTGATATGTTCTTTGTTTGCGATGCTAACCATATGGTAATCACCCTTGGATTTCCTGCATACAGAAAAGGTTGAAAAATTGCTTGCTGAAAAATTATTTAGGTCTGCTTTGTATGATACAATGCATGCTAATGTTTAAGCATGTTATGTGTGTTATTTCTTCAAAGATTAATGCACAACAAACTATTGTTGATTCATCCTGTAATGCACTACATGAAACAGCTGGCAAAAATTGCATGAAGAAAGTCAATGTGACTCAGTTTGGACAACCTTTTTGTTACTTGAGTTATTTGAGTGCATTCCTGACTGTCTATGCCTACTAGAGATGTAGAGCTGTTATGGCAGAAAATTGTTTGTCCAAAAAGTACTTTAACCTCTTGTAAGAAATTATGGCTTCGAGGTTGACAATTGCGTTATGGATCTATAGAGTCAATATACCTCCTTTGAGATTTATAGTGCTTCAAATTTGAATTCTATGCTGCTTCGTGAAGAGGGAATTTGTTGCAAGAGAATATATATCCTTCATACAGTGAAGGAGTTCTACGGGAATTAAATTGGAAGCAGCAGTAGATGATTATAACTTTACAATGAAAGAACAATGTGTTGTTCATTGTGTTGTACACCAAATTTTTGCTTGGCCTTGAAGACGAAGCCAACTATTTTATCCAATGAACTTGCTAAAAAAGAACAGGACAAGAATAACAGTCTGATATTGTATGAAATTAAGTACGTTTTCAATTGGGACATATTGCTTTGGCCTGCTGGATATAAGTTTATTAATGTTATTATGGCAAGCTTTTCTGTGTTTATGATCTGGTGTGTGACTGAGTTGCTAATTTTTAATATTCTCTTTGGTTGTTCAAGGTTTTTGATGGACATGGTGGGAAGCATGCAGCTGATTTTGCATGTGATCATTTACCAAGGTTCATTGCAGAGGATGAACACTTCCCTAGGGAGATTGAGAGGGTTATTTCGTCAGCATTCCTGCAAACTGATAATGCTTTTGCTGAAGCTTGCTCTTTGGATGATGGTCTTGCCTCTGGTACAACTGCTTTGGCAGCTCTTGTTATTGGGAGGTTAGCATTTATATACTGATTGATAATTTTTACAGATGTTGGATACCAGAATGAACATGTAATTTTTTAGTCTAATAGCATCAGAACCTTATGATATTCTGTGGACAGACTGTGAATGATAATGCATGGGCAATTACTTGAAGATGCATGAGCTTTATGTGTCTTTGGAGATAGTGTTATATGTGAATGGTTATCACCATAAATGTGCTGTGTGAATTGTCCAGAATTTTTGCCATTACTCTTAATTTCTGGTTAAGGTATAACAAACAGATGTAGTCAGGGGACATTTTTGCATCAAATATAAAGTCGGAAAAAAAGATGGGTGTGAACTTGGTGAGCCTGTATTGCATCTGAACTTGATCTCTTGGTACATTTGGCAAGAGGTATTATAAGGTTTTGCCATTAGCTTCTCGAGTTAACAAATATTTACCAATTCAGCTCAGCTATGGGACAAGCCAAATTGGTTTTTTTCACCTTTTGGTGTATGTGGCACTTGTCCGTTTTGGTTTTTTTTTTTTTTTTGATATCCTAATACCTAATGGTTTTGTGAAACATATGATTTCTAATATTAAGAGCATATTGCTGGCGCAAGTTTGTGTTTAGGAGGTTTTGCTGCTCTACTTGTTTCTAAATTTCTTACAGCTGACTTGTTTCTGTTTTTTTATTGAATTTGGTATGTAGTTCATTGGTGGTGGCAAATGCCGGAGATTGCCGAGCAGTTCTTTGTCGTCGGGGTAAAGCAATTGAGATGTCAAGGGACCACAAACCTCTGTGCTCCAAGGAGAAAAAGCGTATTGAAGCTTCTGGAGGATATGTATATGATGGATACCTCAATGGACAGGTCAATGTTGCTCGTGCTTTGGGTGACTGGCACTTGGATGGGATGAAAGGCAGTAATGGTAGCCCTCTCAGTGCAGAGCCTGAACTTATGAGCACTATACTGACAGAGGAGGATGAGTTTCTTATCATTGGCTGCGATGGAATCTGGGATGTCTTTATGAGTCAAAATGCCGTGGACTTTGCTCGTCGAAGGCTTCAAGAGCACAATGATCCAGCGATGTGCAGCAAGGACCTTGTTGATGAGGCTTTGAAGAGAAAGAGTGGAGACAATTTAGCTGTAGTTGTAGTATGTTTCCAGCCACGGGCACCTCCTAACTTGATTGTTCCCCGAGGGAGAGTACATAGGAGTATATCTGCCGAAGGTCTAAAGGAATTGCGAACTTTCTTGGATCAATTGGATGCATGAGATGGTGGTGAAGGTGTCCTTATTCTCGTCTTTCTGCCTCCATCTCACCCTTCCCCTCCCCTTCCCCTCCATATTTTTACATCTAAACCAGTCTTTTTTGGCTTTATTTCCTCTCTATTTCTCAGTCTATGGATTTTACTTTGTTTATTGTACCTGTTAGGTTATGTGAGAGGATGTATCGTCCAACTGTAACATATGCGGCAGGAACACAATTTTTGTTGTTTATTTCCCCTCGAGCACACATTGTGTTAAGTTAGTGATCTTCAGGATACATTGATAATGGAATTTGTTTGAACATTTTGTGGAGTCTTTTTGCTAGCATCTTCGTGCTATGGAGTCATAAATACCTATCATATATCTTTGTAACTGTGAGTAATTGCCATGGATTTGACGTGCTGAATTCTGCAGATAGTGCATCATTGTACACTAGCATTTAGCATAGTGGACTTGTACATGCCTTCCTAAAGCACACAGGTTTTACACAAACAAATTAAAGCAGAAGAAACTTTTTCTCCAATTGTATTAGATTTGCTACGTCAGTGCCATTCATTGCTCTTTCATTTCTTTACCAACAACCATTTCAAGTACGAGCAAAACCTGTTCAACAAATGTCAAGCTGTGGGGGAGTTACCTCAACTCTTTTAACTCTCTACCTTTTCTGGAAGTTAAATAGCTTGATGGAGATGGCAAATGCGAAGCCGAAAAGCACTGCAAATCCAACAATGATTACTGCAACATAACCCAAGAAGTCATGTCTGAATCCGAAGTAGCTCCTAATGAAGTCTTCCACTCTTTCACCTGTATCAAGCTCCTCTTTTATGTCTCCGAATTGTGAAGCAACTAAGCCATACAAAGTCCAGGAGACAGGACAGAGGTAATAGTACCACCTCCACCACACTGGAATTCTCTGCAGTCAACAACAAAATGAATCGAATCAATTCCTTATTTTTTGCTTGCTTGCTTGCTTCTTCTTCTTCTTTTTTTGAAATAAGACTTGTTAAAGATTATACCGTTCGAGGAATTATAAATCCTGAGAAAAGGTTCCATATTGCGTAAAAGGCTGATGAAACTACTGCAGCAATATTCTGGTTGGGTGTTACCGCCACTGACATCATCCCATAGAATGTGTAGTATAACAAGGTAATATACATGAAAAACAGATACCAAAAGAACTTGGTAGCTGTCCATTCGAATCCAATCATTGCATATACAATAGCTCCATAGCTGAATGCTTGAACGAGAATGTAAGGCAGCTCAATCACCATCTGCAGAAAACAAGCATTTGATGAACGCAAAAAATGGTTTTAAGTCGATCTATTTTTTTTGATGAAAAAAAGCTCGGATAATCTTGGCAAGCCAATACAGGTATCTTTCAGACTTGCTAGACCGGACACGGTCGAAGCTATAAAAGTGATACCTGTGCAAGAGCATGTGGCACAGCCGAATACATTCCGGCAGCTCTTTCCCTGTAAAGGACTGTTCTCTCAGTGGCTACAATTGGTTGAACTGATGTAGAATTTAGTATACCGATAAACAGAACGGCCGCATACATGGAGCCCATTGCGTTAAAGAGATCTTGTCTTTTTTTCCTGCAATTTTACGTACCGAAAAATTGGAAATGTTAAATTCAGAATCAAATATTTATTCAACAATGGAGATATCTGGGTGATAGTACTGACACTGATTGTTTAACTCTTGTGATGTTTACCTTTTAGTGCCAAGATCCCAGAATATTGTTCCAAACATTAAGGCAATGATTACTGTGTAAAAAAGTCTGACTGCTGAGTATCGTGGATTTCGCCAGTATGACCAGTGCTGCTTCCAGAGGCTAGCAAGGAATTGGTTGTAAAAGGGCTGGGGATACTGAGTAGGGAAGTATAATTCTTTAGAACCAGGGGCAGGTTTACTTAGTTCCTCTATTAATGCTTTGTTCCTCCTGATTCACCAAGGAGTAATTATCAGCAAGCAATGAATGTTGAGCCACTTAGTATAAAGATACAACTTCTCATCTAATCCCAAGTATGAACCCAATTACCAGAATAAAGATGCAAGATTGAGTTATGTATCTAGTCCTGTATTTGTGTAGATTCCCAAGTATGCACCAAATTAAGTGATTATCCATAGAAATTCTGAGAGAAGCCTACCTATACAGTTCAGAGTTCTTGTACAGCTGTGCGAAATCAATTCCAAGAGCTGCTTCCTGTGCAATTGATGTCACCTCCAACATCCAAGTCGCAGGGTTATAACCATCTTTTATTTTGCTGACTCGATTAATCCCCTAAAACAAACAGAAAGAAATCAACTATAGAAACAAAATGCTATCTTAGATGGCAGAATATTTCAAATGTCATGTGGATCGTCACCTCAAAGTATTTGATGAGATTAGATGAATGGCGTCCTAGTTGGCCAACGTATATTTCTTCTCCTCCTCGTTTTAGGAGAATCAGCTGCAAAAGCACAATAATAGAACTTTATGATTCCTTTCAAGCTTATAGATGAAAACAATACCTGGATCCAATTATCATTCACCTCATCAAAAGCATCAAAGATGTCAATGCTTGGCTGATGGATAGTGCACACAACAGTTCGGCCTGTATCAACCGTGTTTCTTACTGTTCTCATCACTATGGCAGCTGCCCTTGCATCCAGCCCTGAAGTTGGCTCATCCATGAATATTATGGATGGATTGGCCACTAGTTCAACCGCAATAGTTAACCTCTTTCGTTGCTCAGTTGAAAGACCATTTACTCCTGGCAAACCAACTAGTGCTTCTCTAAGTGGAGTCAGCTCCACGAGCTTCATGACTTCTTCAATGAATGTCTGAAATTTCAAGTAGAAACAACAATAGTTAATAGTCTGTATAAGTAGATCCATCTATCCATTGCATACTGCAAATCAGGATCACCTTTCTGGCTTCAGCATCGATGTCAGGAGGCAGTCGAAGCCATGCTGAGTATTGCAAGGACTCGTGGACAGTAACATGAGGAGAGTGAATGTCAAATTGCTCACAGTATCCTGCTACACGAGTGAATGTTTCTTGTTTCTTTGGATAACCTGATATAGTAATTGTTCCTTCAATATATCCTCCTGTTTTTCTACCGGCTAATACATCCATCAGGGTAGTTTTTCCAGCCCCACTAACGCCCATTAAAGCTGTTAGAATCCCTGGTCTAAAAGCTCCACTGACACCCTTCAAGAGAAGTAGCCGATCCTCAGATATACCACGAGTTTTCATTTCCTGCAAGTATAGCATGATTTGGTTACGTACAAGCCAGAAATGACAAGAAGTCTATCAAATTTAATAACAATTTCATGAAAAACATATGACATGATTCCTGATACCTGCGGCATATCTACTGCATATCTTAAATCGTTGAAGGTCATAGCAAGAGGTTCAAAGGGAATAACCATTCCCTTCTTCTTGCTTCTATCACCTTCATCAGGATTGCCTATTCCAGGAGACTTCAACCTGGATGACATGCTTTTTGGAGCATCTGTACTGGTTTCTGCATTGGTTGGATTGAATGCATTAGAAGATACAAGATCTAGCAACAGGAAGATGACTTCTTGATTTGTGATGATACTGTTCTAATTTACCAGCACTATTGTTGGGCTTTTCTTCTAAAGATAGTACCGCCTGATGTTTTCCGATTGCTGCATGAATCATTTAATTGTTCACATAAACATGTTGAATAGATTTAAACTTTATCATAAAAAAGAGTAAATTTGAATTTGATTTCACTCAATACTGACGGTTGAGGTATGTAAGAGCCAAAGTGTTCAGGAAATTGAAGAGGAACACATATCCAAAAACGGCTCCTACTCCTATCCAATACCACCGTGCTTCTGGAAAAACACCACGAGACTTTAAGACTGAAACACCTAGTGGCTCCCTGAAACCTTCAGGAACCTGTAAAAGAATTACTCTCACAAGATTAGATCAGCAGAGGAGACCCATTTTGCAGTCCATCTATTCCATCCCTCTGTGCAAGACTGAAGTTGGTTCAAGGATGCTTACATGTCTCCAACTGTTTCCTAGAAATTCATTTACAGAAATAGCATTCTGCCCGTACATCAAAGGTGAGATCCAGTAACCCCATATCCACCAAGCTTTGATGTCATCTGAACAATAAACACATTGTTTCTCATGGAATCCTATATACAGCAGCAAGATGGAAAGTACCCGAAGACATAATTTATTCCCTATGTGTAACTTTATACCTCTTGATAGAATGAATCCTCCTAGGACAAGTACAGCAAGTATTGTGAATGCTCCAAAGGTGTTTGCAACTATCATGTCTCTTCCTAGTGCAGCCATAAAGCGAAAGAGTCCTAAGGACATCTGGTGAATGCAGATGAGAAGAATAAACTGTCTGAAAAACCTGCCCACACAATCAGACAGTCACTTAAATTGTTTCATTCAACTAGTCTTTTGTACTAGCATTTCTACAGGGTCTTTTTGCCATATTAAGTCCTTGGGACCTACAAAGATTGGACATCGTAAATAAATTCTAAAAGGCTTGATTTAATAATCCTACACCAACAAAAGCTGACTGAAGATCTTCTTTGATAAAAACAAATTTCCAACAACTTGCTTAACGTTTGGTCCGTGAAGAAGAGGAGTCGGAGTCTACTATGGTTTTGCTTTCTCCTCATGCATCCAGCCAAGTTGCCAAACCCTACGATGGTGGCTAAGAAAACTATGATTCACGATCTTGAATTTAGTGGTCATCATGCTCTTTTTCTACTCGTATCTTTCAAAAACAAACACGCAATGATGAGAAGAAGCTATTATTTCATGCACCTAAGATTCAAAAACGTGACATCTATGTCCGTGCATGCCGGCTCTTTTTTGTCTCTTATGTTCAAGTTATTTTTATACAAATGTAGGTTAGATAACACTCCAACAAGGATCTTTGTATGGTCTGTTATAGTCCCAGAGGCTGTTTCTTTGTTAATGGTCTTGCCTCCAATGTTCTAGGGACAGGAACACAGATTTTTTTTTGTATACAAACTATTGACATCTATGCTTTTCTTTTTTTTTAGGAAAAAACAAAAAAATCCCATGGTAAATCTAATATACAGAAAAGTACCCCGTGACTTCAAAATGTACAACACGAGATCTTATGTTTTGAACTAAATTGTAAAGGTGACGGAATCCGTTAAATTTAACGAAAATAGACGAAATGACAAAATGCCCTGATATGATTAAGCAAAAAATAGCTCAACAAAATCATTTGTTTTATTCTCTAGAGATAGAAATTGATGGCTAAGGGTAAAACATGTATATTTGTTAAAAATTAGATATATTTTTTAAATTCCATTAAGTCATTTCTGTTAAATTTATGGATTCCATCATCTTTACAATTTAGTTCAAAATATGGGGTTTTCTGTTGTCGGAAATCACGGGAGGCTTCTGTATATTAGATTTATCACAGGGGACGTTTTATTTTGTTTTTTACCCTTTTTTTTAAAGAGAACTTTCTTAACCTGACATTTGCACATTGAACAACACAATGTCATGTTTTCCTGCTAAGCTACACCAATTATCGTATGCGATGGTGTGGAGATTCCAGCCTCCAAGATTTTAATATTGTGATATTTTTCAACTTAAGCATAAGGTGTTTTATTGTAGATATGGCGTTAGAAACATTAGATAACCCCATTCCCAACCCCAAAATTATGCTTAGGCCCCAAGTCCCATACATTGTACATGTACCCCACCCTGATCCTTAAAATCCTGAATCCCATGATTGTTTTAGTTACTTTTTTTAATAATAAAATACATCATAGTTTTATTAAATAATAAAATGTACACTAGTGGCAGAATTTAAATGAGGTATGCCTAAATACAACAGATTAAAAAAAACAGATACTAAAAATCTAAAAAATTATACTGTCAAGCTAGTTACTTAAACCTTGTAAGATATTTGGAGACACAATAATGCTGAAAGCACTACCATGAAGTGACCCCAAAAGAAGGGGGGAGCGGGGTGGTGTTGGGGGAAACAGGTATGCCCTGGTTGTGATGTGAAGAATGAGAACTGACGAGGGGAGGCAAGAACCAGCGGGACATCAAAACTGTAAGACTTTTTGGGCATAAGAATCGATCGGAAACGTAGAATTGGCTAATGATGTTGCGTCCATTTTGGAAGGGACGTTTAAGAAGAAAAGTACATTGAAAAGAGTAGGATTAATTGATTAAGCTGTCATTGCCCACGAGATATTGGTCAAGTGATGGAAAAGATTAATTTAACGCCCTAAAAGTAAGTAGGATATTTTAAATTCATATGTCAAAATTGGGCTTCATAATCTAAAATTATGTCAAGAAGAGTAGTGGTATACAATCCCAACTCCAAAACTCAGATCGCGCAAGTTTATAGTAGTGCTCCTATAAGTGATTAAAACTTAGGGGTAAAGATAATTTGAACTCTAGATATGTTCTTAATTTGTATGTTTTATCTTCCAAAATTTAGGGTTTAAGTTTACGTTAGTTCATATCTGAAATTCGGTTTCACATTCTTTATCATTATTTCAACTAGTGATTAAAGCATACTTCAATATAAATTTGTTTAAAAATTTGATAAAAATTAAATGTGCAAATGATTGGTTATTTGGTAGATGCCTACAATTATGAAATGTTATAATCCTTTAAATATGATAGGACCATTTTACCCTTTACAACAATGGTAAAAGATCACAAAATGACTTGCTCCGTTATCCCTTAGGTTTTGTATACTTAATCATCACAACTTTGTTGCACTCTTATCATTCTCAGCCCTACAATAACGAATAGTAATTTGATGGTTGCCTATAATTATGAACAGTTATAATCTTTCAAATATGATTGGACCATTTTACCCTTGCGACAATGGTAAAAGATCTCAAAATGACTTGCACCATTATCCCTTCAGGCTCTATATACTCAATGGATCACACGATTCACACCTTGTTGCACGCTTATCATTCTAAACCCCTGCAACACCCCCCCCCTCCCCCCAAACAAAAAAAAAACCTCCCGAGGTCCAAAAAAAAACCAAAACACTATAAAACACAAAAGCTGTCATATTGTTTCCCACATTCTATGCTGTGATGATGAAGGAATGATTGCTACGTGCGACTGTCAACGCATTAGACCCCACTAATAGATACAGAAGATTATGTATGAGAATATTATGTTGACATACTGGCACCATGCATGAGAAACTTTCAGTGGCATTGTTGAAGTCCAAAAGATGAGACAGTATACTCTCTAATGGCAGATAGATCATTTAAAAGATCTTCTTCTGCTGTTAACAGTTCTGGCCATTATTGTATACATAGACTGGCGACTTTACTACACCCTGGTTATGCTCTGCAACTGATATGTCAATCCACCAACTCACAGCCATTCTTCCTTTAATCATTTGTAAGCATATTCGTGGTTTCTGCCTTGATTCCAATAATGAGCTAGAATCTAAGACAACATTATTGCAGAGATAGCCACCAATAATATCAGAAAGTGTGACTCGAGTGCAGTGATTTTCTGTTTTGGAATAATGGCTGAGGTCCAAAGAGAGTGGAATAATTGTCTGGTTTTGCATATTCATGGAGCTTAGGACTACTCCCTAATGCTAGCGTACGTGCATGAATGACCATTGATTAGTTGCTGCGAATGAAGGGAAACCAATATTCATCATACACGTACATATGCGTGCCTGATGTTCCATCTTTGTCATTTTGGTAGGTCCTCGGCATATCCAACACCGACTTTATAAGTCTATATGATTAGAGGAATGATACTTATGCCTCAACTATCACTAGCAAGTTAAGCATGCTAAATCAAAAAGTTGCGTTTGACACAATGAAGAGTTGACCGGTTTCTGTATCCTTATTTGGGGTAACATTTTCCCTTTAAATGGGGTTTCACTATTTTGGGAAAGCAAGAATATTAAGAACTCCCCCAAGTGTGACAATTTCTTAAGATTTCCAAGATACACTTGCCTCCCTCTTTTGAGTTTCGATGTAACATATCGACTTCAAAAATTCATATAAGATGCTAAGAGTATTATCCTGTGTAAAGTTGAAAACCTTCTCTTGCATTCCTTTTCTTGAAAATCAATGAAGTACATGTGTAAATCTTCCCTTATATTCATGTTCTTTGATGACATATTTTAAACCAAGCATATTTAGAATTTTAATAGTTTTATAAATTTTAGTAACTATATTAGATTTGGTATAATAGTTGGTTTAGGAAATAGGATGGGTCATGTTTTTGTATTATAATTAGAATAGGATTTGTGGTTATATTTACCTATTTAAGCATTTGGAGTCCTAGGTTTGTAATTGAGGGAAATTAATGAATTGAAACAGAATTTTTTGTTTCCTCCCGTGGCTTTTTTATTGTTTATTATTTGTAAGATTTTAATGTTACTTTCATTGCGGGATTTTTTTTAAGCTAACAAGTGATATCTGAACTCTAGTTTTTCGAGTTTGATTTTGGGGTGTCTGTGTTGCCTGTAGGGTGCGCAAAGGTTTTGATAGAGGAGCTTGTACCATAGAAGGGTGCAGAGGTTGTGGTAGAGTATTCATAGTATTAAAGAATTGGACCATAAGAGTTGGTTTTAAGTACTCGTTCTTTAATTGAAATTAGGAAAAAATGATTCTAATTGGACAGAGATCTAAAAAGAGGGATTCTGTTGAGATTTTAGTATTGTGCAGTGATCAGGAAAAAAAAGGTCCTACCAGATTATTGATTGTCATAATGCTGTTTGATCACATCGAAACTAGGGAAAGCAAGAAATTCAAGCAGGGAAGAAAAATTTTGTGAAGGTACATAAATTATTTGGAATTGCCATGGAGAGAGAATTTGTCAATGGTGAAAATTATTACTATAAAGAAGATTATGAAAGGCATGATTTATTAGTTGAAAGTTATGTAGATTATTATTTAAGAAAATATAATGGCTCTAATTGCGAATATGTCAATATCGATGACTTTTTTGATCGAGGAGAATTAGCAGCAAAATTGAATGCAGATAGCCGATTTCCACAGGTAAATATGTAGATGAATATTAGTTATAAATTGGAGTTGTAGCTGAGTTATACTGTTATAGAGGTTGCAATAGCAATTGAAACTCATGATCGTATTAGAAATGACTACATCAAGAACTTGATTTACGGGAGATATTGTTGAAATATTTTAAACCAAGCATATTTAGAATTTTAATAGTTTTAGAATTTAATTTATTTGGTAGCTATATTAGATTTGGCATGACAGTTTAGGAAATAGGTTGAGTCTTGTTTTTGTATTATAATTAGAATAGGATTTGTTGTTATATTTATCTATGTAGGCACAGGGAGTCCTAGGTTTGTAGTCGAAGAAAATTAATGAATTGAAACAGAATATTTTATTTCATTCCGT